GTCGATTCTGACCCACAGCGCCCCTAGAGGACAGAGTGGAACTGCCCCACAGGGTCTCCAAGGCTGTCAATCTTCACAGAAGCAAAGCCCAAACCAAACCCACTGCCATGGAGTCCATTCTGACTCACAGCGCCCCCATGTGTTTCAGTGTAGAACTGCACTCCACAGTGTCTTCAATGGCTGTGATGTTTCAGGAGCAGATCGCCAGGCCTTTCTCCCAAGGCACCTCTGGGTGGGTTCGAACCACCCACCAACCTGTCCGTCAGTAGCTACACGCATAGCTGAATCACCCAGAGATTCCAGGCATACAGTAAATGTTTGTTAAGTAAATAAACAAGTGAATTAACGAAACAAACAATAATACATCAAAATGATAAACAATTTTTTAAAATAACTAACTAATAAAGCAAAATCAGACAGGAAGTGGGTTAAGAGTCATTTCTAACTGCCACTCACCTGTTTGGCCTGGTCAGGGAGGCCCCTACCCCGGAATCTCTTCTCTCTCTAACCCCAGGGGCCTCGGAGTCTACGAGAGATGCTGCATCTCTGTCCACATCGCTGGGGGTGGTCCGGCCTTCAGACACGGAGGTCCCCTCGAAATCTAAGGTGATCTGATGAGGTCCTGGGAAGGGGGCCGCGGTGGGGTCTGCAGCTGGCCCGTCGCAGGTTTGCAGCTCAGGCTGGAGGCTCCTGGACCAGTCGTCAACCACCTCCCGGAGCCCGTTGACCTGCTGCAGAATGTCATCCATGAGGGGGAAGAGGTCGTCCTTCTCCAGGTCCAGCAGGTCCCCCGTGCTGGCGTACAAGTGGGAGCCAGGGACGTTGTCGTAGACGCTGACGCGGCTCTCTCTGGGACAGGAGGCCATGAGCGGGGGCTGCCTGGTGCCAGGGCCCCGCTCTCCGCTCAGAGGGCTGCCCTCCGCCCTCCAGTTAACCCCACTGGAGTTGTCCGTCGGGGCCAGGCTCTCGATGGACAGGGCCTTGGGGAATGTACCTGGTTTGTGGTCCTTGGGGATGTGCACGACCAAGTTCTCCTGGGAATGGAAGGCGTGGCCGTGGCCGGGCCACCCCGCCTCCCACGGCATGTCCAGGTCTTCCAGGCACACGCCCCCGCGCTTGCTGGCTTCCGGCCACTTCTGTCCCTGCGGGCAGGGCGCGCTCAACCCGCTGGTGCTGTTGTCAGAGTCGCTGCCCGATTTGCTGGAGCAGGCAGGCCCCTTCTTGGGAGGCCCCTGGGGTGGGTTCTGGAGGTACCCGTTGGGTAGCTGCATACATGGCATGGTCTGAAAGGCTTCCGACTCCTGTTGGAGCACGGGCCCGCTGATCACCACGCCCCCTGTCCGCCCGGACCCCTTGTGTCTCCCAGATGAGCCTTTGGTACGCAGGGTCTCCATGCGTTTCAGAATCGACTTGGCTCTGGTCCTGCCTGGCTTCTCATTCTTTGGGTGGAAGGAGTAGTTGGTAGTGTCTCTGGGGGACAGGACGAGGTGGTGGCTGACAGGCGGGGCATCCAGCATGCTCGGGCCTTCAGCGCAGGGCTGTGAGGGGCCGTCCCAGACCTCGCGGCCGGCGCTGGGTGTCCCCGGCTGGCCCCTGCCCTCGCTGCTGCCGCTGCTCCCGCTGTGCACGGACGAGACCTCGGGCTCACTGAGCTCGGTAAGCACGCTCTCGCTGCTGGGGGTGTTTTTCATCCTAATGGTGCCCGCCTGCCCGTTTCTGTCTCCTCCGGGAAACAGCGTGTGGAGGTCGTCCACGCGAGACCACCTCCGGCTGGCTCTTTGGAAAGTCCATTTGTTGCTGAGACAAAGATCGTCCTCATCGGAGTCGTCACTCTGAAAAACAGCAAGTCAAATGCTCAGTTACATGAGGGGTTGTGTAAATGCAGGGGCCACACAACCAATGTCGACTCACAGCGCCCCTAGAGGACAGAGTGGAACTGCCCCAGAGGGTTTCCCAGGCTGTCAATCTTCACAGAAGCAAAGCCCAAACTACACCCACTGCCGTAGAGTCTATTCTGACCCACAGCGCCCCTAGAGGACAGAGTGGAACTGCTCCACAGGGTCTCCAAGGCTGTCAATCTTCACAGAAGCAAAGCCCAAACCACACCCACTGCCGTGGAGTCGATTCTGACCCACAGCGCCCCTAGAGGACAGAGTGGAACTGCTCCACAGGGTCTCCAAGGCTGTCAATCTTCACAGAAGCAAAGCCCAAACCACACCCACTGCCGTGGAGTCGATTCTGACCCACAGCGCCCCTAGAGGACAGAGTGGAACTGCTCCACAGGGTCTCCAAGGCTGTCAATCTTCACAGAAGCAAAGCCCAAACCACACCCAGTGGGAGCAAAGCCCAAACCAAAGTCACTGCCATTGACTTGACTTGACTCATAGGGACTCCTTCTTGGGTTTCGGAGGCGGTATCACTAGAGAAGTACATTGCCCAACCTTCCTTCTGAGGAGTGGCTGGTGGGTTTGAACCGCCAGCCTTCTGGTTAGCAGTCAAGTGCCTTAGGCACTATGCTACCTGGGTGGTACGAATGGTTAACACTTTCAGCTGCTAACTGAAAAGTTGGAGGCTCAACCATCCTCAGAAAAAAGGTATGGTGATCTGTGTCCAGAAACTCAGCCACTGAAAACCCCATGTCTCAGTTCTGCGTGCTGCTCTAACAAATACCACAGCGGATGGCTTCAACAGACGGATTTCTTCTCTTACAGTGCAGGAGGCTCTAGTCTGAATTCAGAGGGCTGGCTTTAGGGGCAGGGGGAAGCCCCCCAACCGTGGACTCCAGCTCTGCGTCTTATTCCAGGCCCACCGGAGCCGAAGGCTTCTCCTAACTCGGGCAGCTGCTGGCTGCTGCGGCTGACGAACTCACGGTCGGCAAGTGGAATGGAGCAGTCCCAAGATGAACAGGCAAATGGCAGGCCACTGGTTCAAGTCCAAGGACAACCCCACGATCGGCAGACAACACGCAGGTCACTGAGATGAAGGCTCGGCCGGATGGGCCCAAAGCCAGAGGCCTTTCCCAAAGGCTCTCCATATAGACTGGGAGCAGGCCACACCCTGCAACTACTCAGCCACTCACAGCAGGGTCCACCATGGAGGTGATTACAGTCTCATCATGGGGAATACTACATCCAGCTGCCCAGCCACTCGGCCCCACGGCCCAGCCAAGGTGACACACAACGTTAACTACCACACCCTATGAGCACAGTCCTACTTGGACACACACCACACATGAAGTGGCCATGGGCCGGAGTGGGCTGGATGGCAATGTGCTGCTTACGGTTAACCCCACAGCGTACGATGACCAAAAACCAAACCAAACTCACAGCCATCGAGTCGGATCCGACTCATAGCGACCCCTCCTTGGGTTTCTGAGGGTGGCATCACTATGGAAGTAGATTGCCCAGTCTTCCTTCCGAGCAATGGCTGGGTATGATGTCCAGGATCCAATTTTTTCAAAGAAAGATGATGTACACATCTACTTTCACAACTGTAAGAATTGACCACTGATGGTCCTATAACTTTATATGAATGATCAGAATTCCCAGGTGTATAGTAGAGCTGACAAGGGGCAAGGTTGTGGTCACTGTTTGGTCACAGCCAGCTACCCAGAGGGACCGACTAGTTGAACCTGCGGGCTTGGGACCATAGTCGCAGGGGACATCAAGCTCAATTGGCATAACATACTATATAAAACATTGTTCCACCTCCTACTTTGGCGAGTAGCGACTGGGACCTTAAAAGCTAGCAAACTGCCATCTAGATGCAACAATGGGTCTCTCCTCATCAAGAGCAAAGAAGAAAGAAGAAAACCAAAATTAATGGAAACAATCAGTCCTAGTGACTGGTACACCATCCAATCTGCAACCTATACAACTATGAGACAAGAAGAACTAGATGGTGCCCGGCTACCACTGTCATCCACTTGGAAGGGATGTAGAAGATCCTGGATAGAGAGGGAGAACAATGTGGAACAAAATTCAAAATCATTTGGAGGGAAAAAAAAAAAAAGAGAGAGAAGGTGAGGACCAGGTTTGCTGGTCCAATAGAGGCTGGTGTAACCACTGAGACTATGGCCCCTAGTTGCCCTTCAGGTCTGGAATTGAACCCACACCTGTGGTTTCCAGCCAAACAATGTACAGGCATGTGAGTTAAACATTTACCTCAAGTAGACACACACCCTGGAGAGAACAATCATGGGAGAAGGAAGGGCTGCTTATGCACAGGGAGATAGCTCAGGGCGCAGGAGAGTATGGAGGGATGGACACTGGGAGGAGGTAACTATGGGGAGGAAGTGGGAGGGGAGCTGTTGCATTGTGGTAAACTGTGGTCAATGACATGAGACAAAATATATGTGAACTGCTGTATGGAAAGTGAATTTGCTCTGAAAATCATCACCCAAATAAAAATAAATTAATTAATTTTTAAAAAAAAAGAATCGACCACTGATGAAGGACTGAGGGTGAATTTAAGCACTCCTTACTTCATTTTGAGTAAAAGGTAAGAAGGACCACCCTAAGGTTTTTGCTGCTGATTTTATTCTCGTGCTGGATTTGTGACGCAGGAGACCCCATGTGTCACAGACTAGAAGGGCCCCTTAGGGTTTTCCTTGCTGTCGTCTTTACAGGAGGAGACGGCCAGGCCCTTTCTCCCACGGAGCAGGGGGTGGGTTCGAACCACCGACCTTGGGTTGTCAGCTGAGCTCAAAACATTTGCCACCCAGAGAGTTTTACACCCTAAGCTCTGGTGGTGTAGTGCCTAAGGCACTTGACTGCTAACCAGAAGGCTGGCGATTCAAACCCACCTGCCCCTCCTAGTAAGGAAGGTTGGGCAATCTACTTCCATACTGATACTGCCTCAAAAACCCAAGGAGGGGTTGCTATGAGTCAGGTCTGACTTGACAGCACATAACAACAAGAAGCTTTTGGGAACTGCTTTACAAATCTGTCCTTTCATCCAGGACAACACACTCTATTAATACTGGTTTTAAGGCAGTGGTTAACACACTCCATTTCCTTAACCTGCTCACGGGCTGACCTGCCGCCTGGGAGTTGAGGATCCAGTAGCCAGTTGAAGTCAGCTTGTGTGCCTTGGAGTTCACTTTAGCTCATCAGGAGCCTTGCTCGTATTTGGTACAGTGCCTAAAGCATCTGCCTGCTAACCGGAAGGTTGGCGGTTCAAACCCACCAGCCGCTCTGCGGAAGGAAGGTGGGGCTATCTACTGTAAAGATTTACCACCTGAGAAAGCCAATGGGGGTTGCTATGAGTCGGAATCAACCCAACGGGAGCAGGTTTGCTTTGATTTTGGTTTTGACGCATATTCACTTCTCCGCCTCTGGGTGGGGTTGGTCGCCATTTGTTGATCATGTGTGTGTGTTGTGGTCAGCAGTAACTGCACCCACGTACCATGACTGAGACTGTCCCTGACGTCGTCAAGATGGTCTCCTGTTGTGAACCCTATAAAGACGGCTTCCCTCGACGCCATCCCCGAGCAGTGTTGGCAGGCTCTAGCCCACCTGTCTCCTCTTGTTGACCAACAAAATGAAGCTGTCCTTCTCTCTCCCCTACTTGGTCTCTTGTCTTTCTGGATTTGGACAGAACCACATCGAGCAGAACCCAGTGTCCCTGGCAATGTCTTCTCTAAGAAGAGTGGTTTAAATTTCAACGAAACAGAAATGCTTTAGAGCCGCATCGTCCCCTGTGACTAGTGTGGTTGTCAATCTAACCTAAGTCACACAGGTTAACAAACCAGCAACTCACTGTAGCGGTGAGAAATGCGTGGTGTTGTTAAATGCCGTCGAGATGACTTGTAGGGACCCCACGTCAAACAGAGCAAGGTACTGCCTGGTCCTGCCCCATCCTCACAGTGGCTGCTACGTCTGAGCCCATGGTGTCCGTCCATCTCGTTGAGGGTCCTCCCCTTTCTCGCTGACCCTCTAGTTTACCAAGCACGAAACCCCTTTTCCAAGGTCTGGTCCCTCCTGACACCATGACCAAAGTACCCACATCTAAGGAGCATTCTGGATGTACTTCTTCCAAGACAGATTGGTTCTTTTCCTGGCCGTCCACAGTACAGTCAGTATTCCCTGCCCTAATTCAAAAGCATTACCTCTTCTTTGGTCTTCCTCATCCATTGTCCGGGTCTCACATGCATCTGAGGCGACAGAAAACATCACGAGTTGGGTCAGGCACACCTTAGTCCTCAAAGTGACATCTTTCATTTTTAACACTTTAAAAAGGACTTTTTTTTTTTCTTTTCTTTTTGCAGCAGATTTGCCCTGTGCAATGCTTCCATGGGCATTGACTGTGGAGACAAGCAAAATGAAATCCTTGACAACTTCAATCTTTTCTCTATTTATCATGACATTGCTTATTGGTTCATGTGATAGTTGGAGCTGTGTGTCAACGTGGCTGGACCACATTCTGTGTGGCTGAAGCAGTTGCCATGTGGTTATTCCCATGATGGGATCAGACGTATATGTTTTGAGCAGCCAATCCACTGAAAGGGAGTTGCCCTAGGGCTGTGGCCTGCTTCCAGTATATCTATGGATATATGCAGTGTCTGGGAAAAGAGACTCTTCTGTGGATCGGGATCCTGCCTACAACTGTCTGTGAGCGAACAATCCAGCATTCGGCCTGGAGATCTTGGATTCGTCATTCGTTGGAGTCAACAGCCACTATACTGCCTGCCAGCCTTGAGCTCGTCAGACCCTGCAGCTGCAAGAGTCGGGAAAAGCCTCCAGCTTGACGTTTGATCCAAGAACTTGGGACTTGCCAGCTTCTGTAAGTGTGTAAGCCATTTTCCTAAGATAAATTTCTCTTTCTTTCTCTC